TTTCCTTTGCACGAGGCGACCTCGAACTCTACGAACAACAGCCCACATTGGGCAGGGTAAGAGGAGTCTGGCAATCGAGCAAAGAGCTCGGAATTGAGTCGATTGCATTTCAGAAGCCGAACGCTCAACGCAGGTCAGGAATTTCACACGAATGGATTTCTTACAAAGCGAGTAAAAAGTTGATGTGAACTTAATCACTTTGATAGTGCAATGAGTAAGCCACGACCAATTTATGATTCATAAATGATTTGCCTGTGTCCTCTCAAGCAAGTACGAGAGAAATTGAATGTTCGGCGAGCTCAATCGAGTTTTCCGGTCGTATTTGGTGATTTTAAAAAATCCTTTTTTCTGTCAGGCGTGGAAGCTGACAAGCAGTTGTTGATATCGATCGGTGGTAGATGCTCTGATGCGCAGTGGATGAAGATAGCGGACCATATTCACAAACTGTTTACCACGACTTTACCTAGCGAGCTTACTCAAAATGTTAAGACTGTTAACAGCAATGGTCCGGTCCCTGCCGGCGCGACGAACAAGCACGGTGCGACTGGTTCAGTACGAAGACGTGGTGAGAACTTGCCTTTCGATTCGGTAAGTCTATTGGAGGGGATGCGTGAACAATATGGGCAAATGTGTGCATGGTCAAGGATGCGTGTTACCCATTAGGGAATTTAGGGACAATCGATTGTTTTTTGAGCTTTTCAACTTCCGTGTTGAAGTAAGGAGTTACTTACTGGGAAACTGTACTTCAACACTTGGTTTGGTGCACGGAATTTCTCTTCCCTGATTTTAAACTTATCCTAATGCACGGATAAAATATTCGGATTCTGAGTGTGCCGTAATGTGTCTTGCTGTTTTCAGTCGGAAGTGGTAACAAAGTGCGTCGTCCAGCTACTGTTGATCGATCTGGTATATAGAGTTTTCTTTCGAGAGCACTACGACAAGGTTCCATCTGGAGCCGTGGAAACCATCTTGGATGCGTTGCAGCTCAGTTTCAAGTAAATGGAAATGAACATTTTACGAAAATTGAATCAATTCTGACTCAGATTTGCTCATTCGTTCAACGTCCGTCTGGATATCAGAGAGAGGTTAAAGAAGCTCGGTTTTATGCGGGATATGAAGCAGTTACCAGGATTGCTCAAACAAGAGCGTGAAGGTATGGCAATGGCTGGAATGCGGTTTTCACCACCTGAGTGTATCTAACCCCTGGAGTTTGACCGTGATAGCGTTAATGAGCTTAATGGTACGAATTTGAGTTTTTCCCGGAGTGCAGTACTACTAATCGTTTGGCCACTCGGATGAATGCCAGTATTGGAGTGTATCTGTAGACCTAGAACTCCGCAGCTCTATTCTTATGCTGGCGCTCAACCGTCTGTATGAATTATTAAGCTTTGACTGTATGTAGGATTCCGGTGGGCTTGATACACTCGGAAAATCTTCCATAGTTGAGATTGTTCGCCGTATCCCGAAACTCATTTCGTTGACAAGATATTTCGCAGGTATTTGTGTTTACTTTCGGCTGTTGGTGAAGCTTTATTCCACAACGAGCTCCCCAGAATGTGCTGAAAAGCTGTCGCAAGTCAGCATGGAGGTGGTTTCATCACTTCAACGGAAGGAAAAGTTTCTCAAGACACCGCAAGAGGGCGGTCTTGGCACGCCAAAGGCGGCTGATCCGATCAAAGTTATGGAATTTGAACGCGAGGTGAGTATGACAATTTCAGTGTTTTAATGGATTTGATAAGCCGACCGGTGAGATGATTTCTTCCCCATGCGTTACAAATCTGTAGTGGTAGAAAATGATTGCCTCGAAAGGATATATATTCTGGCATGCTGAAAACGCAGCGAGTTTGATCACGAGGAAATTGAAAGATGCAATTGCTCATTGGGGATCATCTGGATTGTGTCAAGTGTTAGAAGATATGTGCATGTACTCTTTGGCGGTCGTCGTACATCTCTCACCGAAATCGTGTTTTAATTTCATTATTACTATGTGTTAACGAGGCACTTGGCCTGCAGGTAGCGGGTTTGATCCCTCTGGTGTCCGATGTGATCCTCGCCTCGCTCATGGACCTATCGGATGACATGTTTGCTGAGAACTGCGCTGAATGGATCTTCCCTATGCTTAGCGATCTCATTCTAGTGGACGATCGGGGGATTCGGAGCAAGGTGAGTTCTTGGCGCATACCCCTCATACTTATGCTAGTTTGGGGAGAAAGGATTTGAAAAGGTTGAGCTCGCACATTCTCAAGCACGAATTACTGTCTTTGGGGGACTCTTTGGTATTCTTAGGTTGATTGCTAAGAGCTCGAATCTGAGTCCATTTTTACGCAAATAGTTCATTCTTACATTCCAACTGGAAAATTGCTCGTATATTTCTTTGTGATGATAGTGAAATACGAACTCATTTGAGACACCAAGTTCGAGCTGTGTATCCTAGTGTGAGGGGTGATGATTATCAGATACAGCAGATAATGTCGACTAAGGTGAGAGCAGTCCTCAACAGGGGAACACCTCAGTCTTCGTCATCAGCAGGCCATCAGTGAGGTTTGCTGCCTTTTTATAAGTATTGATATCCCATTTCCTGTACTGTCACTTTCACGCTCTCTTGCTGATCGTGGTGTGCCTTGAGTTGACCGGGAAAATGTCTTTTACATCTGTGGCGTATCGCCGTGGACCAAAGATTTTCCCATCGATAGGATTGGAACACCCTTGAGCTGTGTGATCCGCCTCTGATTTCGTTGATCTTTCCTTTTTCCGACCTCCAGGATTTTCTCAGGATTTCTGAAAATGCGGCTTCTAGGGCCATGATGGTGGAGTGAGCCAGCGTGTGGTGAACTAGATAATAGACTTGATATCTGGATCGACTCATGTTAAACTTTATGATTTCTCGCATTGACAGTGCGGCATTGTTCTGGTTATGATTAATAATATTAGTAATCGTATGTTTGTATTATTACTCATCGCACTTCCTCTCGGAATATGCTCAGTCGTGTTGGGTTTTACTTTCTCAACTCAAGCCGTAGTTCAATAATTCCTTCGGTCATCGTCTTTCCTGATGGTTTGTATTCGCCCCGCAGTCCTGTCAGACCTCCCTGCCATGCAGGAATGTAACCTTATGTGTTTGCCCGAGAATTATCAGGTGCGAAAATGAGGTTGTAATTTGGCCATAATAATTTTCTTCAGATGAAATATTATTTCTATCACATATTGAGCTGGCCTCAATTGCTCTACGTCGCCGAGGATACTGATCGTAAAATAGTTGGATACGTGAGAAGCTCGCTGTCAGCGTTCGTCTTGCAAGGGAACTTTCTAATCGATGCAGGTATTGGCGAAGATGGAAGAAGACGCCGGGTCGGAACCCCCTAATGGCCACATCACGAGTCTCGCTGTGCTCAGGTGGGTGCACTATAGACTATTTGATTGAACTGTGTTGTATTGATATGTATGGTAGCAACAGTTGAACCGAAGAGATGAGAACTCATAGGCTAAGTGCTGTGTCTATCACAGTCCCACTAGCGACTACTACTTGCACATGGGTTCACGTATCGACTCACTGTGTCTTGATAGAATCTCCTCGACAATATCGTTCTATTGTTCTCGGTATTGTTGTTGTCATACCGTACCTTTTTCTAGGTCACACCGTAAGCTTGGCATCGCCACGAGGCTCATGAAGGCCGCCTTGAAGGCGATGCACGAGACGTTCGATGCGGAATATGTTAGCTTGCATGTAGGTTGCCTAGTTCCCTCGACTGAGAATAGTTTATTGACAATCATCGTGAAGAATCTGATGTCGCAGGTCCGAGTGTCGAACACGGCAGCCCTCACTCTTTATAGAGATACTCTCGGCTTCAAACAACACGATCTCGATAAGCAATACTATGCGGATAAGGTGCGCCTTTATCTTCGGGTTGGATTCATCCAAACCGTTGCTTCACTGGACGATCGTGATAAATGGGATAGCCCATTATGATCTCCTATTTC